AAATGGTCTTCCATTGTCATCCAATACAATTGGAGCGACAAATTCTAACGATATTGGGGATGAATGTGGACGTGATTCTATTTTTGGAACTGGTAATAAACCATTTCTGTCAGTGACAGCCCTTCTCACCATGTTGTCAGAACAGTTTTTTCTAGTCAAAGTATGAATCTGTTTAACTGTTGAGGCATAAGGCAATTCAGTTAAACTTTTATCATTACAACAACAAAGCAGGTTGTACAAAAGCTGCTTTTTCACTTTTTATTTCCATTTTCTTTATTTGTGAGTCAAGTTTAAACTTCCAACAATGCCGTCTGATATGACCTTTTTTATGACAGTGAAAGCATGTGGTATACTCTTTATGGCTCACTTGCTTGCATCTGTCGTTGTCATATCTTACTGGGACTTGTGGTTCCTGGCATAACTGTAGTCTGACTGTTTTTGTCACTTTGAATCACAGCCACCTCATAAGTGATATTGCTATTTTTCAATTTTCTCCGGATTTTGTCAATGAAACTTACTATGTCATTCAAATTTTGTTTTTTTTCCTCTGCTATGACAATGGTTACTGGGTCTAAATACGTGAATTTTTTTACAAAAGCTTTGATCATAGCTGAGTCTTCCTCATTTTCTACTCCAAATATAATTTTATATGCTTTGGAAAACTTATTTTTAAACTCAAAAGGGTCTTCGTCAGCAGTAGTCTGAAGTAGGTCTAGCATTTCTACAGAAGGTACGTCTTCACCTGTTGAACATAACAGCAATTGTCGCAGTCTGTCTGTCGCGTCACTATGTTTTTTCTGTTCTTTATCGTTAATAACAGAATTTTTTAATTCGAGACATAAATTTAATTGGTAGCCACAATGGAAATAAATAATTTATCTCCTAGATTGTAAGCTCGAAAGAGTAGGGCCCTCTTACCCCTCGTGTGCTGTTTGTAGTTGCTGTAATGTTTCATGTATTGTCCCCCCCCTCTATTGTACAGCGCTGAGCAAACCCTTTGGCGCTATATAAACTCAATGTAATGTAATGTAATATGTCATGATTTGAAATCTGATGGCATTTGACATGCATTTCATATATTTCCATGTTGCTGTAGATATCTTTATCTGGATCATAAGCAGGGATGTCTTTTAAAACTTTCATTAATTGATTATGTATTTGCAACTTAAGTTTTGCAGTTTTACATAACAATTCTTTATGTTTAATTTGTGTTTCGTCATCAGAATCAATATCCGAACTTTCAGAGATATCGGACAGCCGTGGCTCTGATTTTGAATCACTCTGTTTGTCATCTGTGTTTATCATGGCAACCTGTTTACTGTCATTCTGCAGTCTTAACAAAAGATTTGTCTTTGAGTCAATTTGTTCCTCAAGATTCTCTATGTAATTACAAAAACTGTCACAGTTTGGGCAACTAAGAGCATCTTGAGACAAATTTTCATGTTTTTCTGTATTCTGTACAGTGTTACATTCTGTCTGTTTTAATGTACAAGCTTTTTTAACAGATAAATCAACATTCAAAATCATTTTGTTGAATATTCGTACTAAATTTAAGATGTTAGATATCTTTTTACGCTGTCTGTGCACAGTAAATCTAGATTTATCTATCTGAATATTGGCCTGTAAACATTCGTTATACATAGGAAGACCGTAGAAAAAACGTCGGCGGTGGCTGGCTCACCAAAATGTTGGATTTTAGACACATATAATACTTCTTCTAGTGTCTTGAGGCGATTATGAATGAAAGACCCATTGAAATAAAAAAATGAAGTGTGATTTTATTCTATCACACAATGATGTAAAATAACAAATGTAAAGCGTATTATGAACAGTTCCATGTAGATAAAATTACTGTAGAAATAACGAGCAAAAGTGTAAAGATAAAGTCACCATTATTTGTCATGGCTGTCCTGGCCATGTGCAGTTATCCATGTCCTTGTCCGTCTCAATGACTTTGTGAAGAAGAAGCCGGACGTGACGATATCGTAGCCGGAAGTGATCTTGTAACAGTATGCACCTGTTGCAGCTTCTCAGACCTGTGTATGAAAGAGTGTCATGTTAGCGTGTAAGTGTGAGAGTGAGCGTTCCTGCTTGTCCGTTGTCTCATGGTCTTTTATGAGGCAAATGTACGTCATAGATAGTGATCTTAATACCTTCTATGGAAATTATTACTGCTTAGCAAAGCCATTTCATATAAGGAACGGATGCTATACATATGATGTTTGATGGACAGGAACATATGTATGCTGATGTAAATAATATTATAACCCTCAGCTATATATTTAAAGAATAGTATAGCTTAAGAACATATCAATGTATAATCACTAAACTATATATGTATCAATGTTAGAAACGTATACTAAATACACACAGATACTATTAAAATACATAATGTAATAGTAAGTCACTTCTAATAACCTTGACATAACTACCAGATACTTTATGCCTAAATATAGTATACTCAACCTTCAACTGATTTAGCTAGTTCAGCTTAACTTATTCATATCTTTTTCAGTCTCAGTTTAACTTATTCATATCTTTTTCAGTCTCAGTTTAATTGAAGAATACTAATACTACCATTTGTCAAAAGACCATTTACACATATTAATATTAATTATGACTAATCATAAAAACCAAATATTTTGCAAGCTTGCCATCAATATAAGTGCCGAATCATAATTTAGATTTATTACAATTCCCAATTTGATTTACCATAATCACCAGGGCCAAATGTGATGCCTAATACTTTGATCTTTTGTTGAGGCTCCGGGAAGGCATCCGGAAGTGAGAAGTTCTCAAGTAGGCTGGATTCCCAATTTGATTTACCATAATCATCAGGGCCAAATGTGATGCCTAATACTTTGATCTTTGGTTGAGGCTCCGGGAAGGCATCCGGAAGTGAGAAGTTCTCACCTTCCCTACCCATCCACAAAACGTCACTTTTCTCACGATTGATCTTGGAGCCCGATGCCCCGCATACTGCTCCATCTCCGTGACCAACTCCTGCACTTCATCAGCCCCAGAGATGAATACAGACACATCATCGTCATAGGCCACGACCCTCAAAGGTGGCTCACCAGTAGTGCCCAACGGCACCCCGCCATCTAGCCGCCTGACGAAAGGGTCAAAGGCAAAGGCATAGAGCAAGGGACTCAGCGGACACCCCTGGTGCACCCCAGAGCCAACCTCAAAAGGCCGCCCAACCCAACCATTGATCAACATGAAGCTCTCCGCCCCTCTGTACAATGTTTTTAGTCAACCAATAAACCTCCCTTCCAGGCCATACCGGTCAAGGAGATGCCAGAGGTACTTATGGTCTACCCGATCAAAAGCCTTGGCGCCAGCAAATACTTTCCACTGCCATCAGCCCTGCATCGCTCCAGAACCTCCCGGACAGCTAACACCGCTGTGAATGTACTTCTACCCTGAACCGAGCAGTACTGACGCTGCGAAAGTAACCCGTCTGCCACTGGAGAAAAGGATCTTGGCTAGAATCTTCCTATCGACATTGAGAAGGCTGATGGGGTGCCAATTCTCAATCATCGAAGGGTCCTTACCTTTTGACAACAAGATCACAGCTGATTTCCTCATGGAGGGAGGGAGTGAACCCTCATCCAGACAGCTATTAAAGACCTCCGCAAGGCGAGGTGCCAACCTGGACTTTAAAATCTTAAAGAATTCTGCTGTCAAAACGTCTTGCGTCTTCTTAATGGCCAGACTATCTATGGCTTTGACAACCTCTTCAACTGTGATCTCGCCTGTCAAACTTGTGGGCAGAATGTTGTTTTCCAGACCTGGCGTAGACTCTAAAAAGCTTGACATCCTTGGCTGGCCGAGGTGCTTCTCCCCCAGAAGATCCTCAACGAACACCCTCGAGACCTCCAAGATCCCTGACCTGGATTTTGTCAGGGAACCCGTACTGTCTCTCAGATAAGAGACTGTTTTAATCGCTACACCTTGATTGCAGTTCTGGTAAGGGGCAGGCGAATGGTGCTTCCCAAAATCCCTCTCCAGAACCAAGGAGGTATGCCGATCATACTGATATTTTCTGAGGAGAAGCTTAACCTCTGAGATTGCCCCAGAATCTCCACCCTCAGAGACAAGGCAATCGAGCTTCCTCCGTAACCGTTGGTAGGCAATGTACTTATCAAACTGTTTTTTCTTACCTAGGGCCTTGAAAAACCTGCCGGTCTGCACTTTAGTAAGCTCCCACCACTCCGACTTACTGCTGCAGAAATCCAGGATGGTCTCCTGAGCTTGAAAAAAATCCTTGAAGGATCGTCTCACCTCCTCATCGTCCAGCAGAGTCGAATTCAGTCTCCAGACACCCCTCCCCTTCAGTGGTGCACCTGAAACATTTAAAGACACAGTCAGCTAAAGGTGGGTCAGAAAGCTCCACCGCCTGACACACAGGTGCCGAGAAGGCGGAGTTCCCCTTTAAAAAAAACCTGTCTATTCTACTCTCGCTTCTACCTCGCCTATAGGTGAAACCCGTGCTGTCTGGGCTGCACTTAATTAAGGCATCCTCCAGACTTGCTTCCCTAACTATTGCATTTAGAAATACGCTGTCAAACCCCAGCCTGTCATTGAAGCCCTTCCTGTCTTTAAGCCTAGTGACAGTATTAACCACTTGCCTACCGGGCACTTATACCCCCTTCTTTACCAGGCCAATTTTCAGCTTTCAGCACTGTCGCACTTTGATTTACAATTGCGCGGTTATGCAAGATTGTACCCATATGAAATTTTTATCATTTTATTCTCACAAATAGAGCTTTCTTTTGGTGGAATTTACTCATCGCTGGGTGTTTTACTTTTTGTGCTATAAACAAAAAAATTGCAAAATATTTGAAAAAAAAAAAGTTCCTTTGTTTCTGTTATAAAATTTTGCAAACAGGTAATTTTTCTCCTTCACTGATGTGCGTTGATAAGGCAGCACTGATGGGCACTGATAGGCAGCAATGATAGGCAGCACTGATGGGCACTGATAGGCAGCACTGAAGTGCACTGATAGGCAGCACTAATGAGGTGGCACAGATAGGCAGCACTGATAGGTGGCACTGATAGGCGGCACTGATGTTGGGTACTGATAGACAGCACTGATAGGTGGCACTGACTGGCATCACTGCTGGGCACTGACTGGTGGCACTGCTAGGTATTGACTGGCGGCACTGTTAGGCATTGACTGGCGCAATTGCAGGGCGCTGACTGGCACAACCGCTGGTCCTGACTGGTGGCACTGACTGGCAGCACTGCTGGGCTGCACTGATGGGCACTGGTGGGTGGCACTGGTGGGCACAGGTGGGTGGCACTGGTGGGCACAGGTGGGTGGCACTTCTGGATGACACTGCTGGGCACAGGTGTGTGGCACTGCTGGGTGGCATTGGTGGGCACTGCTGGGCACAGGTGGTTGCACTGCAGGGCACAGGTGGTTGCACTGCAGGGCACAGGTGGGTGCACTGTTGGGCACAAGTGGGCGGAACTGGTGGATGGCACTGCTGGGCACCGATCATCAGGGCACTTATTATCAGTGCCCTGATGATCGGTGCCAATTCCTGCTCTAACAACTGCTGGTTCTCGGCAGTACTTTCCTCACGATCTGACAGCGTGAAGAAAGTGCAGCCGAGAACTGGCAATTGCATTTCCCTGTGATCAGCGTGTTATTGGACACGGCTGATCACATGGTAAAAGGCAGCTGTGATTGGCCTTTTACCACATCACGTGATCAGCTGTGTCCGTAGGACACAACGATCGCGGAGATTGCTGGGTGCGCGCCCCCTGGGGCGCGCAGGAGAGCGCGTTCTGGGAGGACGTCATATGATGTCCTCCCAGAAATGGCCGGCCACAGTGTAGCCATCATTCGGCTATCTGCGGTCGGCAACTGGTTAAAGTCTCCTTCAAAGACAACCTGCTGGGACGTAAAAAGGAAAGGCTTAATCCTTGTAAAGAGGTATTTCCTATCCCACTTGGACTGGGGACCATAGATATTAATGAGCCTTAGATCTTGGACCTTCACAAGGACGTCTAAGACCATACATCTTCCAACCTCCACCTCAATGACCCGACGACACGTTACCACGCCGGTAAAAAGCACCGCTACTCCGCTGTAAGGCTCTGCCGCAAGAGACCAGAAAGAGGGACCATTCCTCCACTCACTCTTCACCAGATGAATATCAGCAAGACTGCTGAGCCTGGTCTCTTGCAAAAATAAAACATCAGCACAAATACTACTGAGCAAAAATAAGGCTGCACTTCTAGCACCTACAGACTTTAGGCTGGCAACATTAATGGTTGCCACCTTTATTGGAGCGGGAACTGCCATCAAGGTAATTAAGATGGTCATTTCTTAACCGCATGCCGCCCAGCCACTGTACATATACGGTGGCAGGGCGGCACTCACAGGCAAAACCACATTTTAAAACGTGTGTTTTGTAAACAAATAGGGGGCGCGCGCGAGGCGCGCTGCCGCCCTATTTTTCCTGTGGATCACCGCCGCAGATGTCAGTTGCCGGGTCACAGCCACTCATTAGCGGCTATGTCCCAGCGATCGGCGGTAAACGGTGACAGAGAGCACAGCTGCAGTAGCTGTGCTGTCTGTCACCTCTCTGTCAGCTCGAGGATGAGCTGATCGAGAAAGAATAGTTTCACTTTCTCGATCAGCCTTGTCCCGCCCAGTACACACCCCCGCCCCCTAGTAAAACACTCCCCTCACTCCTATAACCCTTCCCTGCTAAATAAAGTTAACCCCTTCCTCCCCATTGCCATTAGTACAGTGTCAGTTTTTTTTTTTTTTTTGCACTGATCACTGTATTAGTGTTTTTGGGGATGTCAGTGACCCCAAGTCAGTACCCCTCAATGTCAGAATGTCCGCCGCAGTCCCGCAGTCCCGCCATAAGTCGCTGGTCGCTGCCATAAGTCCCTGATCGCTGCCATAATTCGCTGATCGCCGCCATTATTAGTATAAAAAAAACCCTAAAAATCCCAGCATCTTTCCCGCCATTTGTAAACGCTATAACTTTCACGTAAACCAATTAATTTACACGTATTGGGTTTTTTTTTAGCAAAGACATGTCGCAGAATGCATTTTGGCAGACATTTATGACTAAATTTGATTTTTGCATTTTTTTTTTACTGGACATGTTTTATAGCAAAAAGTCCAAAATATTGTTTTTTTTTTTTTCTCAAAATTGTCAGCCTTTTTTTTTTTATAGCGCAAAAAATAAAAACCGCACAGGCGATCAAATACCACTGAAAGAAAACTCAATTTGTGGGGAAAAAAAGGATGTAAATTTCATTTATGTACCATATTGCATGACCGCGCAATTGTTCGTTAAACTAGTGCAGCGCTGCATAGCAGAAAAATGGCGTAAATTGCAGTATTTATACCATAGTTTGTAGACGCTATAACTTCCACACAAAGCAATCAATATACACTTATTGGGATTTTTTTTACCAAAAACATGGAGCAGAATACATTTTGGCCTAAATTTATAACCAACTTTGAGTTTACTATATATTTTTTATAGCTGAAAATAAAAAATATTGTTTTTCTTCAAAATTTTTGGCGTTTCTTTGTTTATAGCGTGAAAAATAAAAAGCGCACAGGTGATCAAATTACACCGAAAGAAAGCTCTATTTTGTGTGAAAAAAAGGACGTAAATTTTGTTTGGGTGCAGCATTGCATGACCGCGCAATTATCAGTTGAATTAGTGCAGCGCCAAGTATCAAAAAGAGGCCTGGTCATTAAGGGGGGTAAATCCTCAGGAGCTCAAGTGGTTAACCTTAGTTTTCCTCAGCTTGGCTGAGGACTTAGCCCTCTTGCAAGACTCAACTACTTCCTCCTCTTCCATGGGAGAAGGGGTCCTACCGGACTCCCCATCCTCCCCCCGAGAGGATCCCAAACTTATTTGTGGTGCACTCTTCCCCCTCCTCAAAGGAGGATATAGAGGAAGCAGGGGATAACACCACCTTACCCTTACCTTTCCCCACTACCGACCACCCATCCCCTTTACCTCCCTCACCTGATCCACCATCCCCAAGATCAAGAGCTGACAGCTCTCCCTTCCCTACAACCCCCTCAGGAATCAACACACAACCCCCGCAGGGTCCTTGCAATGAGATGGGAGGAGCAACAGAGGTGGTACCATAGAAGGCGTCTTGGGCCCCTTCTTGGCCCCCCGAACCCCAGTTTCTCCAAGGAGGGGGGACAGGAATATTAGGAATGGGGGTAGACAACACCGAAGGAGTACCTGGGGAGACACCAAGACAGGGGGAGACTTCACAAGAAGGCAGGTACAGATACATTAGGGGTCACGGTAGATGCCACAGGTGCATCTGGGGCACCCGAGGCAGTAGAATCCCCAGGAGGAGGGGAAGATGACGCCTCACCCCTTTCCTCAGCCTCCATCCTATCAAGTTCCTCCATCAGGCCAGGTAAATTATGGAGGGCCTCTGGACATTTGTTGTATGAATGTCCTAGTTGCAGGCATAAATTGCAACGAATTTGGTTGCACTCACGGGCAGTGTGCCCAATCCCCTGACAGAGCGAACACTTTATGTCTTCACATGTGGCCGCAAAATGCCCTTTATTCCCACATTCATGGCAGACCTTGGGTTGCCCAGCATAAAATACTACTAATCGGCCTTTCCCTAGGAAAGCCGATGTGGGTAGGTGTTTGATTTGATTTCCTACCACATGCAGCCTTACTGTGGCTGCCCATCTGCCTGTCCAGATCCCTCTGTCATCCACAATTTTTTTAAGGGGGGGGCCAACACATCCCCAAATCTACTTAATCACACTGTGATGTCAGCAGGAGGAATGGATTAATTCCTGATCAGTATGGTGACAATTTTAACCAGCGCTTAGCTGGAGACCAGTTTTGGGACTAGCCCCTCCCACCTGGGGGTCCCCTTACACTCCCTTTCATACCTTATCCAGAAGGTGTCTAACCCCTCAGCTCGCTGGAACGAAATGTCATACTCCCCTGTCCTTATGGGAGCAATAAAGGCAAAAATATCGGATGCCTTAAATCCCATCTCCAAGACTCTGTCCACCACCTCTCTTCTGATGGGGGGGGGGGGCTCCTACCCTTCCACCTCAGCTGTACAACATTCCTCCTTTGTGCTTGGCTCCCTGATCCCCCACTCTGTACTTCAGGCTGAGCCACAGCACTCCGTCCCCCTCTTAAAGCAGCCAAATAGCTAAGGGCTTTACCTGCAGGGGGGGAGGGGGAGGAAGTGGGGGAGACTCACCCCCCTCACAGGGTCTGATACACATACATTTTCCACAGCATTTCTAGTAACCTTAGCATTTTCAGTAACCATAGTATTTCCAGGAACCTTAGCATTTTCAGTACCCATAGCATTCCCAGTACCCATAGCATTTCCAGTAACCTTAGCATTTTCAGTACCCATAGCATTTCCAGTAACCTTAGCATTTCCAGTAACCTTAGCATTTCCAGTACCCATAGCATTTCCAGTAACCTTAGCATTTTCAGTAACCATAGTATTTCCAGTACCCATAGTATTACCAGCAGCCATAGCATTTTTAGCAACTTTAGCATTTCCAGTAACCATAGCATTATCAGCAAACATAGCATTCTCAGTGATCACAGCATTCCCAATGACCACCACACTTCCAATAGCCACAGCACTATCAACAATTACTGGATCACCGGCTTTTTTACTTACAGTCCCCGACTGCTGATGTCCCCCCTGGCTCTGCCGCCACTTCCTTTGGCAGCAGAGAACTGGGGATCCGTTCCAGCTTGACAAAGACAGACCTCTCCTTCATTCTCTGCATTGCCGGCTTGAAAACAATGCCCACCTCCTCCACCTCAGACTCCTCTGAGGTAAATGCAAATTTTCTCCCGCCGAGGGGAGACTCCAACTCGAAGATAAACTGCAAACTGTCAGCGCTGCTACCAGAAGCCGCTTCCGCCTCCCACTCCGGCTGCTGCTGTTGCCTCAGCTGCTGAGCAGGGATGGATCCTCGTTCCTCCGTCTCTCCGGTCTGCACGCTCTCTCTGGCTTGCTCCGTGACACGCCCCTCTGCAGTCACCGGCGCGCCGGCCGTCTGATTGGCTGGCTCCGACTGCTCCCCGGAGGAAAGCTCCTCCCCAGGCTGTCCTCTCGCGGCGGCCACCGAGCGTTCCCGTGCCTGTCTCAAGCGCTCCTCGTTAGTGTATTTCTCCTTGAGGGCTCCAGTGGCTTGCTTCAGGGATGTAATTAAGGTAGTCTGCCGATGGACAGCCATTTCCATGTCATCCAGGTCTGGCCTCATGAGCTGTCTTTTGGTGTTCCAGACAGGCTCATAGCTGGATCTCTTTTTCTTTAGTTCCAAACGCATTTTCACCAGCCTCTCTTCCTCCTTCCTTATCCTGGCCACATGAGCCGTCCCACGCCCTTGATAGGCAGCGTATAATTCCCCCGGTTTAGGGGCATTTCCCAGGTCCTCTACTTCCATGGGACTGGTACTCAGTTCACCAGGGGAGGCCCCCCACCCGGATCATGGCCGGGCTCAGTCATGGTTTGCTGGGCAAAGCCCAAAATTTTGCTCCAGGCCCAAATGAGGCCTCCAAGAGTATCAGAGCACTCACACACCACGCTGCTTGCAGTCAGGCTCAAAGTGTCCCACTCTA